ATTACAAGATCATTAATTTCAGTGCAATTCGCAAATAATTACAATGAATGCTTATTTAGAAAGGCTTTGTTATTTAACGGTCAAAAAATAATTTGAAATTTTCCCGCTAAAAGTTGCACTTCAAAAACAATAACTATAGTATAATTAATAATTTGTAGCAATGAATTTCCATACAGCGAAGGATTATAATTTAACGGTTTTTTGTAATTCAAATTTTACAGCGGCTAGAAAAAATTTGAAATTATAGAGGTAATGTTGCACTACGAAAACATTAGTAATAGTATAATTAAATAATTTGTTCCAATGAATTTCCACATAAAAAGTTTATCATTTAACGATTATTTGAGATTAAGATTTACAAAATATCAAAAGATATACAAAAAATCATTAATTATAGTATGAATTTAATTTCTTTCATTCTCCTATATAAATTGTTTATCATTTAACGGTTTTCTTAAGTTCAAATTTTGTAACGGTCGTATGAATTTGAAAGTATCTTGCCAAAAATTGCAGTAAAAGCATTAATTATAGTATAAATAACAGTCTGTTGCAAAAAAAATTTTCATATAAAATGGCTTGGTAATTTAACGGTTTTTTGAGATTCAAAATTTTTCCACGGTAGAAATAATTTCGAATTTCTAAACGCTCTCATCACGTGTTTTTTTTATTTGAAATATAAAAATCATTAATTATAGTACAAAAACACTGTTTCAAGACTTTTAAATGCGTTTCCCGAAAATAAAACAATGGACCTGAGCTAATAAAACAAACTAGAACTCTCTACGTTGTCTAGTTAAAAAGTTTTTCTCCGCCCGAACGAACAGACATAGTGAGATATTAAGCTACCTTTTAGAAACAAGTTCCAAAAATGCGCTAAAAATATTGATTTTATATCTATATTAGCATTCTTTTTATCATTTATTTATAATTATTTCTTTCATTTCACGCTTTTTATTGAGTTGCTCTGTTGGTCACGTTCAAATCTTGCAATCGATTTTTCGACCACTTCTACTGCTCCAATCGAGCTCAAATTTTTTATGCACACGTATTCCCGGTGACAATACAATATTTTAACACTTTGGAACCACAAAAATGCTTAATTATAGTACAATTTAAGTAAAACTTTTTTATATGGGAAAAAATCCAATGTCATTGATATAAAATTTTGATTTGTTTAAAATATTATACTTGAAATGCTCAAAAGTCATTTATATGATTCATTTTAGTTTAATTAATATTACTTATTATTAATTATATTACAAATTTGAGCAGTTAAAGATATTCTGGTAAGACAAAAAAATTGACAAGTAATTTTTTCATGAATATTCGTAAGTAAAAATTTGAATTTCAAAAAAAACCGTTAAGCACAAAACCGTTACGATTTAATGCAAAATAACTATTAATATGCGATGTGCATTTAGCTCACATAGTTTGAGCATAAATTTATGATGCTTTAATGTATTATATTTAATTTATATGAAATTTAAGCTCTCCAAATATACAGTATTAATGAATGCGCCCACGTTTTAAGATGTAAAACTATACGATATGGTCGAAGTAAACAAATTTGTAATTCATGTATGGTCATGACTTTAGTATGAAACTTTCAAATCAATCTCAATTTTTCAAACCAATATCCTTTGAACCCAATAAAAAAGTTATTTTCTACTTTTTAGTCCACGGAAAAAAACGCATACAAAATTTCCCCTCAATTGGAGCAGTAGAAGTAGTCGAAAAATCAATTGCAAGATTTGAACGTGACATACAAGGAAACAGACAGAACAACTCAATAAAAAGACTGTAATGTAAAAAACTTTTTAAAAAACTACGTTTTTCGCGTAGACTAAAAAGTAGAAAATAACTTTTATTCTTGGTTGTAAAGAATTTGGTTTTAAATTTTCAGATTATATTTAATAAATTTTTATATCCTAGTCAATATTGTTCACAAAGTTTCGAATAAGTGCACTTTGATCTTATCGTATAACTCAACAACTTAAAAACGTGGGCGCATTATAAGAGGAGAAATAAGTTTATGTGAAATCAATACTTTATGATAAACTTAAATTAATGCGCCCACGTTTTTAAGTTGTTGAGTTATACGATAAGATCAAAGTGCACTTATTCGAAACTTTGTGAACAATATTGACTAGGATATAAAAATTTATTAAATATAATCTGAAAATTTAAAACCAAATTCTTTACAACCAAGAATAAAAGTTATTTTCTACTTTTTAGTCTACGCGAAAAACGTAGTTTTTTAAAAAGTTTTTTTTTATGAAGTATTTTTTCGCACAAATTATAAAATTTGCCGCACAAATTTCAACATTTGACCAAAAATGTTGAATTTCTCTTCCTATAAGCAGCATACCCATCAAAAAGTATAAAAAAATGAAAATTCCAACAATTTATGATAATTTAAGCCCAAAAGTAAATTTTTACAGTAAGGCATTAAAAAGTTATAAGCAAATGAAATCTTCAAGTGCAAAAACACACAAATTTCAACATGGTTTACCCTAAAATCGATATAATTTTTTTAAAATACTTTATAAAAAAAAACTTTTTAAAAAACTACGTTTTTCGCGTAGACTAAAAAGTAGAAAATAACTTTTATTCTTGGTTGTAAAGAATTTGGTTTTAAATTTTCAGATTATATTTAATAAATTTTTATATCCTAGTCAATATTGTTCACAAAGTTTCGAATAAGTGCACTTTGATCTTATCGTATAACTCAACAACTTAAAAACGTGGGCGCATTAATTTAAGTTTATCATAAAGTATTGATTTCACATAAACTCCTCTTATAATGCGCCCACGTTTTTAAGTTGTTGAGTTATACGATAAGATCAAAGTGCACTTATTCGAAACTTTGTGAACAATATTGACTAGGATATAAAAATTTATTAAATATAATCTGAAAATTTAAAACCAAATTCTTTACAACCAAGAATAAAAGTTATTTTCTACTTTTTAGTCTACGCGAAAAACGTAGTTTTTTAAAAAGTTTTTTTTTATAAAGTATTTTATTTTCTACTTTTTAGTCTTATTCTAATGAAATAGAGAAATAAAGATTATAGGGGGTTTATAGGTTACAGGTGTGTTGAACTCCACTTCGTTGCACTTCGTTACGTTCAACTGTTTATAGATCACAGTAGGTTTATAGGTTACTGGTGTGTTGAACTTCACTTCGTTGCACTTCGTTACGTTCAACTGTTTATAGATCACAGTAGGTTTATAGGTTACAGGTGTGTTGAACTTCACTTCGTTGCACTTCGTTACGCTCAACTGTTTATAGATTACAGTAGGTTCATAGGTTACAGGTGTGTTGAACTCTACTTCGTTGCACTTCGTTACGTTCAACTGTTTATAGATTAGAGTAGGTTTATAGGTTACAGGTGTGTTGAACTTCACTTCGTTGCACTTCGTTACGTTCAACTGTTTATAGATCACAGTAGGTTTATAGGTTACAGGTGTGTTGAACTTCACTTCGTTGCACTTCGTTACGTTCAACTGTTTATAGATTACATTAGGTTTATAGGTTACAGGTGTGTTGAACTTCACTTCGCTGCACTTCGTTACGTTCAACTGTTTATAGATTACAGTAGGTTTATAGGTTACAGGTGTGTTGAACTTCACTTCGTTGCACTTCGTTACGTTCAACTGTTTATAGATTACAGTAGGTTTATAGATTACAGGTGTGTTGAACTTCACTTCGTTGCACTTCGTTACGTTCAACTGTTTATAGATTACAGTAGGTTCATAGGTGCTAAATGCACATCGTATATTAATAGTTATTTTGCATTAATTCGTAACGGACTTGTGCTTAACGGTTTTTTTGAAAATTCAAATTTTAACTTACGAATATTCATGAAAAAATTACATGTCAATTTTTTTGTCTTACCAGAATATCTTTAGCTGCTCAAATTTATGGTATAATTAATAATTAGTAATATTAATTAAACTATAATGAATCATATAAATGACTTTAGAGCATCACAAGTATAATATTTAATACAAATCAAAATTTTTTATCATTGACATTGGATTTTTTCCCATATAAAAAAGTTTTACATAAATTGTACTATAATTAAGCATTTTTGTGTTTCCAAAGTGTTAAAATATTGTATTGTCACCGGGAATACATGTGCATTAAAAATTTGAGCTCGATTGGAGCAGTAGAAGTGGTCGAAAAATTGATAGCAAGATTTGAAATTTTTTGCAAACAAACAAACAAACAAACAAACAAACAAACAAACAAACAAACAAGAAAGCAAGTTAAGAAAAACGTAGTAAGAAAGCAAGTTAAGAAAAACGTAGTAATAAAAAAGCGTGTAATGTAATAATAGGGCGATTCTCCAGAACGGTGGAATTTTTCAAAATGAGCTTTTATAATCCGTTGTCAATTATGCTAACATCATAAATATGTATTCTGCAATTTCTTTCAATATAGAATGATTTAAAACTTTAAACTAGTTTACAACCATCAATAATAATTTACTTTTATTATAAATGATGAAATTTGTAAAAAGTGTAGCTTGACAGTTTAGAATTACAGTAATTTCGATCAAAAATTTTGTAATTTTTTAACGGACTAGGAAAATTTAAGCTCTTGCGTTGCTTTGTGACATAAAGTTGACGTTCGGAGAATCGATTTATCTCGATAATTAAGCTATTTTACTGGAGTTTGGAGCATAAATATTGTAAAACAGATCTTAATCTATCATTTAGTATACATTTAATACTGCAAAGATGAGTATTTGGTACAAAAATTTTGAAAACTCTGTTAAAACTTTTACAAAATTCCATTTTTGGTCACAAAGCAAATGACCGAAGAATCGAAATATCTTAATAATTAGGACAATTCATGCTTAGCCAAATAAATTAATCGATAGGAAATAAAAAATTACATCAGATAAACTGAAAACCTTGTAAGGTTTAGTGGAAAATTTCGACAAAAAATTCATTTGAAGTCAAAATTTTTGCAATTTACCCTACAGAGAATCGCCCAATAATAATATTGAGCAAATTTAAAGTTGGATTCCTAATCCATTCGACACAACAATCGAACCCACCAAGAAACAAAGACACTGATGTAAAATTCATCAATATTCAACGGAAAACATCCAAAATTCCTTTTAAATAGTCATCTGAAACTGCAAATTTGTCGTTTTGAATAACAAAAAATCTTTAGCCGAAAGGAATTGAATAATAAAGCATAAAAACTACAAGGTACAGTTTTCAAAAAAAAAGTCTGACTTTTCATTAAATCCATAAATGGCTTGTTTTCTGTAAAAAAAGGAAAGATATATTAAGTTTGTGTTCTGCATAATCAAATGTTTATTTCACTTTTCAATGTTTCGAACGAGTGTTATTATAATTTTTTGTATATAACAATAACTTTACATACTTTTATAGTTGAACCATATGAAAAGAATAAAAAATAATAAGAAAAAAACTTTTTCTTTTGAATAATTAAACATTATAACAAAAGCTTTGCGAGATATATACAGCACTGATGCAGATTCTTTTCAAATTATAATCAACGATATCATTAATGAATTAATAGTTCACATAAAATCATCATAGTCGTCATTTTCATATGCTCCAGCTCTTGATGCATAGTCATCCTTTAAAAGAATTTAAAACATTAAATAGAAAATGAAAATATTCACAAAAATTGAAAATTTTGTAATACATACATCAACTTCAATGCGAAGTTTTGTTCTAACTTTTCCACCGCCTGTCTTCTTTTTTTGTTTATCACCCTTTTCCATTTTTTGTTTCTCTAAGTATAAATTTTCTATTGTGTTTTTCACCTTGCGTATATTAACTGACGACACTAAAAAAATTTTAATTTGCTTATAACTCAAATGGCTCGTTAAATGGAATAAATAAAAACAAACTTACAACCAGCAAGCAAGTTCCTCACTAAATCATCTAAAAATGGAGCATATTCGTCCCGTGCTTTGAAATGGGTTATTTTTTTGCACAGAACATCACCAAATTCTGCAAATTCCTCTTTTGTGTTTGGATTAAAAGAATCAATGGGTGCGTTTGATGTCAATCCAAGAGTGTCGAGAGCTGCCTTTGTGTATTCTTCTTCCTGAAGTTTTTGTAAACGAAGTTTTTCTTCGGGTGTTAAATTGGCTGTATCTTCATCCTCTTCCTCTTTTTTAAGCTTTTCTGCTAATTCTCTTTTAGTCTTCTGTAAAATCCAAAAAAAAATTTTTTTTTAACTTATAAAAATATGAATTAAACTTGCTTCTTTTTCTGCTATTCTTTGCTGTGCAGTTTTCTTTGCTTTAACAGGAATTTCTACTTTTTCCTCATCCTTTTTCTCGTCTTCTAGAGCATCCTCCCAGCTATCCTGAAAAGTAAAATTTTTTATATAAAATAAACATACAAACAGATACATATACAAGCTATGATTAATAGCTAATGAAAAAAGAATAGTGAATACGTGAAGGTTAACCTACTTTCTAAGGATTAAATTTAATGTACTTACTTTTGGATCTTCTTCATCTTCTCCTGCCCACTTATTCACATCAGGAGCTATTTTAGATAATTTCGGATTATCTGCAATTTTTTCTACAAATATTGTTGAAAAATTCAAATGTTAAGACTTTTATTGTATTTATAATTATTTTTATTATTATTATTTATAGCCAACATCTTCGTTTGCTGATTTAATCACTTTAAGAATTGTAAACTTAAAGATTAATTATATTCAAATATTACCCCAATCATCCTCCATGTCGATCTGGTAGAAAATTGTTTATTAATTAAAGAAACTGTAAGAATTAAAAGTTTCAGAAAATTCACAATAAAATAATGTGACAGATCTATACTTTGAATATTTTTCATACGTTATTTTTGACATCGAAATTTCGAAAATAAAAAATATGTCAATTTTATTTAAAGGTTTTTTGTCTCCACCAGTCTTCACTCGTTCTAGAATTTATCAATCAGAAAATAAATACAGGAGCAGTCGAAGTAATATCTAAAAATATTAGACACATGTTTTTATAGTTTAACGCGTGCCTTTTTGAATTTTCGAACATGAGTTTTCGAATATTTTTATTCCTTTCTCTTTGGATTTCGTTTCAAAAGGTTGTAAATTTACAAAAATATTTAATTAACTCGATTTAAAGCATTTTATTAGTATTTAAAGTGTTTTAATGGATTTACCGCAGGATCTTTATCAAAGAAATTGTCAAGTTTGATTGAAGACATAATAAAATCATTTGAATTTTAAAAAGTTTCATTTCTAACCTAATTTTACTATTTCAGCAACAATGGCTAAGTCAAAGAATCATACAAACCATAATCAGAATCAAAAAGCCCATAAAAATGGGATAAAGCGTCCCCAACGCAAGCGTCATGAATCTACTGTTGGTGTAAGTTTTTGATTTTAATATGGTTTCAAGCTAATAAATAACTTATTTTTTTCTTCTTTTAAACAGATGGATGCAAAATTCCTTAGAAATCTTCGTTTCTCAAAAAAAAACAACTTATCTCGTGAAGATGCAGAAAAACGAGCACTGGAGAATAAGGACAAGAAACGAGCATCCATAAAATTGTAAAATGTGAAAACATTTGAAAGAAAAAAAATGATATAAAATCATTAATAATTCTTAAAACAGCTTATTTGTTTTGTATTTTAGCAAGCAATCGTTTAATTTTCAGACTTGAGGATATACAAAAATATAAATGACAAATTTTAAGTTTATAAAATGTATCTGTGTTGCAGGCAATATACAAACAGAAATTTGCTGGTTTTGAGTTAAAAAATTGATCTAATTATGTACTTTTATTTCATGGGTAGTCTTTGGACAACTCGTGAGAGTTCGTTGTCAAATCAGATTGCAAAATTTTTGATGTACCACCGATTCCGTTATAGAAAATATCGCTACTTAACTTTGGAAATGAATCATGTGCAAGTCTCGGTTTTTTGAAGATCGACAATTTTGCAACATCTTTACTTGATGGTCTAGTTAAGGATCTCTTTTGCTGCTTTGGATTCTTGAGAATAGGTGCTAAACCAATACTAGTTTTCTTAACTTTAAAATATGGTGAATTAGAATCTTGAATATTCTGAATCCTCTTATTGAACTCCTCTGCATTCAATGGAGATGGCGTATTTTGACTGTCCATTTTAAGAAAAGCTTGTCGTGACTTTTTAACTACTTCTGGTGTATCACAGTCTTCGATAGGTGCAATATTTTGATCACTTTTTACATGTTTAATTTTGTTCAAAATCAAATGATTCTCACTTTCCAATTTACTTAATTCATCTTCAAGCCTTTTTCTTTCTTCCTGTTCAGATCGTAAATCATTTCTAACAGTCTGCAACTGCCTCCTCAATTCATTTTTTCTACTTTCTGTATTATTCAATTCGCGCCTTAATGCTCCCAGCATCATAGTCAAATCTTTTGAACTCAAGTTTTGTCTCATTATATCATCTATTTCTTTTTGTGAAGCCGTCATAATACTCTCTATTGTTTGTAATAAATTAAGTTTAGCTTTCAGTTCCAAATTTTCAGCTTCAATAACTTTGTAATTCATTCGTTGATTAGTTAGCATATCTCTTTCGTGTTTCATCGTAGAAATTACTTGATTAAAATGAGATACAGACGCATCCAAGCTCTTAATTTTTTTCCTTAAAATATAAACAATAAATAAAAAATCAAAAAAAACCACTGTTTTTCACACATTATAGTACGTACTCTTTGGTCTGTAAATTTTCTTCAAGTTTTCTTCTTTCTTCTTCTATCTTTCGAAGCGATATATCCTGCTCTCTTACTTTAAATGTAAGATTATCAACGGTCTGTATGAGATTTGCAGAGTTTATGCTTGAATCAAGATTTGTTGTATTAAAGTATATCCTAAATATGCTTCTTTCAGTGCATTTTTGACGGCATTGCGGACAGTCCTTTTTTCGTTCCATCCATTGTATAAGACAAGCTGAAAAAAAAATATTTTGTTATTTTAATATAATCTTTTAATATAAATCCTTTGATATACCATGATGAAAAATATGTCCACATTGAGTAGAAAATACACTATCTGCAGGAATGAATAAATCAGAACAAATAACACAGTTTATATTCATATTTTAGCTAAGTTTCTGCTCCCTTTAGCGCATTTTTAAGAACTTGTTTTCGAAAAGAGCACTTTGTTCGTTACTTTCGATTTATTGACCGAGTGGTTAAGTCTTGAAAAAAATTACAGAAGTCCTCGTGTTATTGATCGAGGGACTTAAGCGCATTTTTGACGCAGCGATCAGTATTTGATTGTCTATTTATTTTGCGTTCATTTACAGATCATTTGAAGATTAGAAGATCATTGATTTTAGTGCAATTAGCAAATAATTTTTTTCAATGAATGCTTATATAGAAAAGCTTTATTATTTAACGGTCAATAAATAAATTTGAAATTTTCCTGCTAAAAGTTGCACTTCAAAAACAATAACTATAGTATAATTAATAATTTGTAGAAATGAATTTCCATATAGAAAAAGTTTATCATTTAACGGTTTTTTGAGATTCAAATTTATATAATGATTAATTATAGTATGTTTAACAATTTAATATCTTTAATTCTCATAATAATTTGTTTATCATTTAACGGTTTTCTGAAGTTCAAATTTTGTAACGGTCGTATGCATTTGAAACTATCTTGCCAAAAGTTACAGTAAAATCATTAATTATAGTATAAGAATAATCTTTCTTTATTTCAAATTTGGAATTATTGTAGTTTAAGTTACATTTCTTTGAGTCTTATTTTGACACCAGCCTGAATATGGCTTTAATTCAACTATATCTTGATTAATTATTAATTTTGATGATTGAGATTAATTATAGTATAAATAACAATCTGTTGCAAAAAAATTTCATTTTAAAAGGCTTTGTAATTCAACGGTTTTTTGAGATTCAAAAATTTTTAACGGTAGAAATAAATTCGAATTTCTAAACGCTCTCATCACGTGTTTTTTCATATGAAATATAAAAATCATTAATTATAGGACAAAAAGCCTGTTTCAAGACTTTTAAATGCGTTTCCCGAAAATAAAACAATGGACCTGAGCTAATAACACAAACCAGAACTCTCTACGATGTTTAGTTAAAAAGTTTTTCTCCGCCCGAACGAACAGACAAAGTGAGATATTAAGCTACTTTTTCGAAACTAGTTTCAAAATTGCGCTAAAAATGTATTTGGGCAATTCTCCAGAATGGTGGAATTTTGAAAAATAAGCTTTTTTAATCCAAGGTTATTCGTGTTTAGATGATAAAAATATTCTTATTAAAATCTTATAAATACCAGAGATCGAAGCCGATTTTTTAATCATAGTAGGCTTTTTTCAAAAAAAATATCGTTTTTACATCTATATTAGCATTTTTTATCATTTATAATACCTAGATATGTTTTAAAATGCATTTTAAAGCATTTTTGTTTTTGATCATAGTAGGCTATTTTTAAAAAAATTATATCGATTTTATATCAATATTAGCATTCTTTATCATTTATAATATCTAGATATGTTTTAGAATGCAATTTAAAGCATTTTTGGTTTCAATCATAGTAGGCTATTTTCAAAAAAAATATCGATTTTATATCTTTATTAGCATTCTTTATCATTTATAATACCTAGATTTGTTTTGAAATGCAATTGAAAGCATTTTTGGTTTCGATCATAGTAGGCTATTTTCAAAAAAAAATATCGATTTTATATCTATATTAGCATTATTTATCATTTATAATACCTAGATATGTTTTAAAATGCAATTTAAAGCATTTTTGGTTTCGATCAAAGGAGGCTTTTTTCAAAAAAAAATATCGATTTCATATCTTTATTATCATTCTTTATCATTTATAATACCTAGATATGTTTTAAAATGCAATTTAAAGCATTTTTGGTTTCGATCATAGTAGGCTATTTTCAAAAAAATATAAACTTTATATCTATATAAGCATTCTTGATCATTTATAATACCTAGATATGTTTTAAAATGCAATTTATTGCATTTTTGGTTTTTGACCAAAGTAGGCTATTTTAAAAAAAAAATCGATTTTATATCTATATTAGCATTCTTTATCATTTATAACACCTAGATATGTTTTAAAATGCAATTTAAAGCATTTTTGGTTTCGATCATAGTAGGCTATTTTCAAAAAAAATATCGATTTTATATCTATATTAGCATTCTTTATCATTTATAATACCTAGATGTGTTTTAAAATGCAATTTAAAGCATTTTTGGTTTTGATCATAGTAGGCTATTTTCAAAAAAATATAAACTTTATATCTATATAAGCATTCTTGATCATTTATAATACCTAGATATGTTTTAAAATGCAATTTATTGCATTTTTGGTTTTTGATCAAAGTAGGCTATTTTCAAAAAAATATCGATTTCATATCTTTATTATCATTCTTTATCATTTATAATACCTAGATATGTTTTAAAATGCAATTTAAAGCATTTTTGGTTTCGATCATAGTAGGCTATTTTCAAAAAAAATATCGATTTTATATCTTTATTAGCATTCTAAATCATTTATAATACCTAGATATGTTTTAAAATGCAATTTATTGCATTTTTGGTTTTTGATCAAAGTAGGCTATTTTCAAAAAAATATCGATTTCATATCTTTATTATCATTCTTTATCATTTATAATACCTAGATATGTTTTAAAATGCAATTTAAAGCATTTTTGGTTTCGATCATAGTAGGCTATTTTCAAAAAAAATATCGATTTTATATCTTTATTAGCATTCTAAATCATTTATAATACCTAGATATGCTTTAAAATGCAATTTAAATCATTTTTGGTTACAATCATAGCAGGCTATTTTCAAAAAAATATAAACTTTATATCTATATAAGCATTCTTGATCATTTATAATACCTAGATATGTTTTAAAATGCAATTTATTGCATTTTTGGTTTTTGATCAAAGTAGGCTATTTTCAAAAAAATATCGATTTCATATCTTTATTATCATTCTTTATCATTTATAATACCTAGATATGTTTTAAAATGCAATTTAAAGCATTTTTGGTTTCGATCATAGTAGGCTATTTTCAAAAAAAATATCGATTTTATATCTTTATTAGCATTCTAAATCATTTATAATACCTAGATATGCTTTAAAATGCAATTTAAATCATTTTTGGTTACAATCATAGCAGGCTATTTTCAAAAAAATATCGATTTCATATCTTTATTATCATTTTTTATCATTTATAATACCTAGATATGTTTTAAAATGCAATTTAAATCATTTTTGGTTACAATCATAGCAGGCTATTTTCAAAAAAATATCGATTTCATATCTTTATTATCATTCTTTATCATTTATAATACCTAGATGTGTTTTAAAATGCAATTTAAAGCATTCTTGGTTTTGATCATAGTAGGCTTTTTTCAAAAAAATATAAACTTTATATCTATATAAGCATTCTTGATCATTTATAATACCTAGATATGTTTTAAAATGCAATTTATTGCATTTTTGGTTTTTGATCAAAGTAGGCTATTTTCAAAAAAATATCGATTTCATATTTTATCATTTATAATACCTAGATGTGTTTAAAAATGCAATAAATTGATTTTATATCTTTATTAGCATTCTAAATCATTTATAATATCTAGATTTGTTTTAAAATGCAATTTAAAGCATTTTTGGTTTCGATCATAGGAGGCTTTTTTCAAAAAAAAATATCGATTTTATATCTATATTAGCATTCTAAATCATTTATAATACCTAGATATGCTTTAAAATGCAATTTAAATCATTTTTGGTTACAATCATAGCAGGCTATTTTCAAAAAAATATCGATTTCATATCTTTATTATCATTCTTTATCATTTATAATACCTAGATATGTTTTAAAATGCAATTTAAAGCATTTTTGGTTTCGATCATAGTAGGCTATTTTCAAAAAAATATAAACTTTATATCTATATAAGCATTCTTGATCATTTATAATACCTAGATATGTTTTAAAATGCAATTTATTGCATTTTTGGTTTTTGATCAAAGTAGGCTATTTTCAAAAAAAAAATCGATTTTATATCTATATTAGCATTCTTTATCATTTATAACACCTAGATATGTTTTAAAATGCAATTTAAAGCATTTTTGGTTTCGATCATAGTAGGCTTTTTTCAAAAAAAATATCGATTTTATATCTATATTAGCATTCTTTATCATTTATAATACCTAGATGTGTTTTAAAATGCAATTTAAAGCATTTTTGGTTTTGATCATAGTAGGCTATTTTCAAAAAAATATAAACTTTATATCTATATAAGCATTCTTGATCATTTATAATACCTAGATATGTTTTAAAATGCAATTTATTGCATTTTTGGTTTTTGATCAAAGTAGGCTATTTTCAAAAAAATATCGATTTCATATCTTTATTATGATTCTTTATCATTTATAATACCTAGATATGTTTTAAAATGCAATTTAAAGCATTTTTGGTTTCGATCATAGTAGGCTATTTTCAAAAAAATATCGATTTTATATCTTTATTATCATTCTTTATCATTTAAATTACCTAGATATGTTTTAAAATGCAATTTAAAGCATTTTTGGTTTCGATCATAGTAGGCTATTTTCAAAAAAAATATCGATTTTATATCTATATTAGCATTCTTTATCATTTATAATACCTAGATATGTTTTAAAATGCAATTTGAAGCATTTTTGGTTTTTGATCAAAGTAGGCTATTTTCAAAAAAATATCGATTTTATATCTTTATTATCATTCTTTATCATTTAAATTACCTAGATATGTTTTAAAATGCAATTTAAAGCATTTTTGGTTTTTGATCAAAGTAGGCTATTTTCAAAAAAATATCGATTTTATATCTTTATTATCATTTATAATACCTAGATATGTTTAAAAATGCAATTTAAAGCATTTTTGGTTTCGATCAAAGTAGGCTATTTTCAAAAAAAATATCGATTTTATATCTATATTAGCATTCTTTATCATTTAAATTACCTAGATATGTTTTAAAATGCAATTTAAAGCATTTTTGGTTTTTGATCAAAGTAGGCTATTTTCAAAAAAAATATCGATTTTATATCTATATTAGCATACTTTATCATTTATAATACCTAGATATGTTTTAAAATGCAATTTGAAGCATTTTTGGTTTTTGATCAAAGTAGGCTATTTTCCAAAAAATATCGATTTTA